TTTTAGTGAAATTTTTTCTAAAGCTTGTAAAGCAGAACTTGTCAGGGTCTTTGATTCCTGGGGATCATGACCTCCTTGCAATAATGGAAACAGAAGTTGCATATCACTGTTAGAGATACCACAAATATTCTGAATCCATTGAATGTCTGCAACTAATTTCTGCACATCATTCAATGTTTTAACTTCCTTTGGTATCAAAAGGCTTTGTGGTCTAACCATTTGTCTGCCTAACAATTCTAATTGTTGTAATATATATTATTAGACAATATCTAATTCCCAGATATTTCCAAGGCTCAGTTCTTTGTACTTTTTTGGGGGCCACAATTAATCCCATCACTGTCAATGCTTTTGTTAACTCACTGATTAAATCATCAGAAATGGTCGTTTGTTGGCACAGAAGCAAATCATCCATATAATGGTATAGTATGCACTCAGGATGAGTTTTGCAGCATGGTCGCAGTGCCAAGTCCACATACTATTGGCAAATGGTGGGTGAATTCTTCATTCCTTGTGGTAAAACAACCCAATGATACCTTTGGGCAGGTTCTGCTCTCTTGATGGAAGGCACAGAAAAAACAAACTTTTCATAATCATCCAGATGAAGAGGAATGGTGAAAAAACAGTCTTTGAGATCTATGACCACAATACCCCAGTCTTGAGAGAGTATGGCTGGATTAGGTAATTAGGTAATAATTAGGTAGCTGCAACGCTCCCATATCTTTCATGACAGCATTGACTGTTCACAGGTCTTGCAATAATTACCATTTTTCTGATTTTTCTTGATAGTAAACACAGGCATGTTCCATGGGCTAGTAGATGGCACGAGATGCCCCACAGTCAATTTTCCTTGCACTAATTCCTTCAAATAAGTGAGCTTCTCTTCTGGTAGCAGCCATTGATCAACCCACAGTTTGATGTAGGGGTGTCCATTAGCCAATTCAGCTTTAACGTCAGGCACAGGCCGCTCGCTGCAATGGCTGCTTTTAAAAAGGAGTGTGCAGTACAGATCTCTATTGGGATAAGACATCTCGACCAAGCAACCACAAGGTTGTGTGCAGTGGTTTAATTTGTGCTCTAAGTCCTTCCTTGTCATCAATAGCAGTAATAAAATGTGCACTTTGTTGCGTAGGTGATGCTTCACCAATGCCTGCAACCATGTTGGCTGCTGGAGCTAAAGGCCAAGAAGGTGACCTTGCAGCTCGAGCTATAACAGTAACATCTGCACCAGTGTCAAGCATAACTTGATTACACTGAATTGTGAGTCCATCTGAACCTTGCAGTGTTATTGACCTTATTGGTTTGTTGTTATTAAATATTTGTGAAAAGGCAACAGTCATAGCACCAGGAGATCCGAATCCTTGGTCTCCTCGTTCTTTGTTTAGAGCCTTGAAAACCTGTGCTTGAAATGGAATCAATTGAGCAATGCAGTCACCCTTTTGTAATGTGACTGGAGGGTTCAATACTCTTAACATTATTCCAATTTTTCCAGTGTAGTCAGTCAATTAATCCAAGGATGATAATCAATCCTTGTTTTGAAGCTGGCTCTTCCTCTAGTGGCTGCTGAAAGCTCGTCGAGGCAGCTTGTTGCTGAGGATGAATAGATCACATGGACACAGCTCAAGGTGTGGTGAAGGGAAAGAGCAGAGTTTATTTCTCCTCCTAGGATTCATAGGCTTCTGACCACAGCCAGGGATTGGATGGTTAAGATAACACTTTCTCACTGCACTGGCCATGAGAGATGCCCATCACAAGACGTGTAACAAAAAGAATGTACACATATCTATGTTTACAGTTACTGTCCTGGGAAAGTCCTTAGAAAACTATGTCAGCAAGTTCAGAAGCTGAGTTTTCAGGGCGACAGCAGCTGCCACTTGGGGGAATTGCAGTGTCTTGGTGCCCCCATCAAGGCTCTCTGTGGGAAGTTTCCTTCCGAATGATGGAACGAGTTCCATCTTTCTTGTATCTGGATCAACAATTATTAGCCCTGTCCCCAAACTTATTACAATGATTGCAAATACCAGCAAATGGGATAGCTGGTGCACACTTCGTTACTTGTGGACACTGTTTCTTAAAATGATCAAGCTTCCCGCACAGGAAACAGCCTTCCTTTTTCCTAATACTCTTAGATCCTGAATCCCCTTTTCCTTGGATCACTGCTGGACACAGAGCCGCTGCAAGAGCTTTTGCATGAATATTGGCTTTCTCTTGCTCTTCCATGAGTTGTGGTAGTCTAGCACATGCTTCTACCATTTGACTGAGGCTAGCCCCTGGAGGGAGACTGGCATTTGTTAGCATCACTGATTTGCATTCTGATATAATAAATCCTTTCCCACTGCTGTTTTGGCACCAAGTGAAAGACTGGGTGTACTAAGTCTTCTTTTAAGCGATCAATAAACTTCATATAAGGTTCATCTGGTTTCTGCCTTAATCTATGATCTAGCCAGCTAGGTGTTCCAATTTGAGGCAATTCTTTCAGTGCAGCTAATGCCAATGCCTGGGATTGTTGAGTTATTTGCGAATGTAAGGCAGCTTGTGCAGCCCCACTTTGATATTGTCCAGTACCCATAAGCTGTTCAAGGGTGGCAAATCATAAAGGGTCATTTCCATCCAGCCTTTTAAGGTTTTCCACCATAGCAACCTCACATCTTTCTTGCCATTTGTCTTTAAACAGCATAAATGTAGTAGCAGGAAGAATAATTTCTAAATGTGATCCAGTACACATAAGGTAAGTAGGCATAAGGTCTTGATTTCGAAAAAAGGATTGTATCACAGTCATAACTTGTTTGTTATCAATGCTCTGTTGCAATTGACTCACAGTTTTGCAATAATCAAATGGATGTCAAAAGCATTGATCTCCCTGCAAGCAGACTGGCACGGCAGTGATACTGGATGGTAACATTTGTCCTTTGATAATTGCATGTTTGATAACTCCTCTCCATCTTTTTCCTTCTTTATAATTAAGATCTTACGGAGGAGGACCTGGAGGAGGAACTACTCCAGACATAGATGGACCCATCAATTGGCTGATGATGAAGGGACATGACGACCCTCTGTCTTTCCTTTGTCCTCCTTACTTTGCAACCAATCACTAAACCTCTGAAGTAGAGTTGAAATAATAGAATCATTACTCTCTCTTTTATCACAATCTGACTTATATTTTCCATAAACCTGACTCTTTTCTTGAGTCAAACCTTGTCCAAATTTACTACATAAATAATTACCAGCTTCATCTGGGTGCATTTCTCCTGCCTCTAATTGTTGTTTTATCCATTCTCTATCACATCTTTCTTTAATTTGCAGCATCTCCTCAGTAATTCAAAACTTGTGAGGATTTCTTTCAGGCTCTCTCTGCCCGCTAGAGGTATCTTTTGTTTCTGGCCCACAAACATTTTCCTTGGCTGCCTTTAATCTGTCCTTAATAGCTCGATGGGCTTTCTGATATGCATCCCAAATGGCCTGTTTTGAGAATCCCCTATCTAATCTTTGCATGTGATTCAAGAGCTCAGACATAGCATTTTCTTGTTCTCACAACAAATTAACAAGTTGCTTAGATGGAAGTTTAGACTAAAGTGTTTCAGGTGGGTCTTCATCAATTTCCATGGGGAGTGGCACTTGAGATGGATCAATTTTCTGTGCTGATGGAGCAGGTCGGACTGACTGAGAAAGCGAAGGAAGTGCAGGCATACCAGACATGCCAGGCAATGGTGGTGCCCAAGGAAAGGTCAGAGGCACCAAGGGATCTATGTCAATATCCCTTCATGCCCAAAACTCTCTCTCAGAAACGAAACACACAGTTTTTGGGGTTTCAGTATCACTGGTTTCCAAGAAATCATTTTCTTCTTTCTTGTCACTCTATCCTTTGCTGAGAGATAGCACAGACATAATCTATTACTGCTGAGATAGTGCAAGCAGCTGCAGCAACACAAGCCCATCCTTTCATTTCTTCCACCATAAGCTGTACAGCACGATAAGTAGGTACCAACTTTCCAGCTTCTTTATTCCCTGTTTGAATAGATTCCCAAAGTTTCGTGCCAATGTTAGTCCATGTAGCTGTATATACATAAAGCTGATCAGCATTTACAATTAAAGCCCATTCTCTACACCAGAGAAGCAATGCAGACAAGTCCCCTTCTTTGATCATAGTCTCTGTCCTTTCTGCAACCTGCAACAAACTTTTAACAGCAGCCCTTTCTATCGCTGATGCAGTGATCCCCATTCTGTCGATATCTAAGCCCTTCTCTTTTTTTCAGCTTAGCACAGATCCTCTCCTGCCTCTCTCAGGCAGCCCGGCTTACCTCCAGTAATGCCAGCCAACAGCTCCCCCACCTCCTCCAGCTTCTGCTCCAAATAGCAATGCTTTATCACATCTCAGGGTCACCAGTTTGCCAGGTTCTTCATTTCTTCATGCAGGAACAGGAATGACACAGCACCAATATGATGATCTGATCATTCGTTTATTCTCTAAGTTTGGTTACATTTATACTGTATACAAATGTATTCACGCAAGTATCTCTACTGCAATCGGCTGCATGCGCTGTTCACACGCCCTTATAAACATTTTTATTGGATAATTACATTTGTGTATATTTGACCACAACTTGTTCAATTTCTCCATCTCTCATCCTGCTTAGCTCTTACATTGTGTTCTTTTGCTGACCAGGCCTGTTCCTTCCCTGTCTGATAACCTTGCCCTTGCTCTTAACTGTTTCTCTTCATGGTCAAATTTGTTCTAGCACAGCCCTGACTCCTACATTACCATTACCAAAATTTCTTGCAAGTATAAAGTGATTATTTCACTTCTACAGCATCTAACCTAAGAATCTCAAAAAATTAAAACAGTCAGCTAATTAATTCAAACAGTCAGCTAATTAATTCAAACAACATTGCTATAATTTGACAAAGGTTAAAACAGTTTCATTTCATCCACCAGCAAAATGCCTTATTCTCTGCTGTGAAATACAATAGCTGACTGAAAGGGCTCAATAAAATAATATTTTGGATCTTTTTCTACCCTGTGCTCAGCAGTTTCTATTAGCCAGTGTAGACTGGGATCTTAGATACTCAGATACTAAATGACTTCAGAAAAGACATATATTTATCTAGAAGTGGTCAGGAAACACATGATTCTCTGCAGAAGGCACAGACTTTAAAAAGCAAAAATTCGGATTTAATCTAGACTATGCGTGTTTGACTAGATGTTCTTTTCATGTTAGCAAAATTAATTAGCCATAGACTTTGTTACTATTACATTCTGGGACCCCTTAGTACAATTATCACACTAGTAATAACTACTTACTGTTACCTGTTACACCATGAACTTGCAAATGCTAGCTTAAATTGCTACGCATGTCAATATTTGTGTGTTTATAAAAGGCATGATAAATCATGTGCTTCTGGCAAGCACTTCAAAAAAGCAGGTTCTTCACTAAGCATACATTTGGCACAGCTAATTACAGAATCAATTGCATTTGCAAAATACAGGAGTGCAACAGATAACATTCTTGAAGCATCCTGATCTACATTGAGTAAAAACCCCAAATGTCTCAAGAAGTATGCTCAAAAAGCCATCCCATTTCTGCAAAAAAAGCAAAAACAGTCTGCCAAACTGTTCCCAGTATATCAAAGCTATGGTATTTCCTATAAATCTAGAATCACAGTTTACAGTTCTCAGTCATCCTGCAGACATTTTGCAGCACCACTGTATCCACAAATCAGGCACTGGCCATTTTAAAGGTTATCCTAAAGACCTAAGATCTAGTTTACAACTAGTTTCAATTTTGGTTCCATGCCTAGATTGGTCAAAAACATCCTGAAGTATCTAATCTTTTCTTACAAAGAGGGAAAAAATATATATATACATATTATACATTTTGTACAAACTGAAACTTTTGGCTAAACTATGGGGAGTGCTTTCTGAAGAGCACAGTAATCTTTCTGAGGGGCAAAGTGCACAGGAAAAAGTGTATGACACCTTTGCTCATGATGCATTTTGATCCACTCTAGTTTATAACAGCCTTTCAACGGTGTTGATGGACCATACACCATACAGACCCCTCTTTTCATTCTGTCTTCAGACTCTTACTTTTCTTGACTCTCTGATTTGGAAGTTATTGAGAAACAGAATAAAATATACACAATTGTATAGCTTACCACATTTAATTTATGTATTTTACTTACTATAGCTTTTCAAATTTTGAGAATTGTATGCCATTTAGGCCTCATATTATTTAGGAATGCCATATCACGGCTCCTTAGAAGGACAGCTGAGAGGTCACTAAAACTTAGTCAGCTCCATAATCACAGCGCAGTTCATTTCCTGAAAGAATCCTCCTCTCTCCTTTTTCAGCTCCAGCATCCATACAGCATCATGATCAGAAGAATGACCTCTGTAGTTCACAGTTCCGAGTCAGCTCCTTTAACAATTTTCTAAAGCTCTGTCAGTGTGTGATACATGCACTAAGATCCTGAAAAAAACTGTACAGGGTGATCATGAATCATCATGGCAGAACTAAGCAAAAGTCAGTGTGATGCAGATGTGAGCAGAAGAAAGATGGAATGGGGAAAAAAATAAATGTACAATTGCACAGATGAAAGAGGTTTTACTGCATCCCTCTCCTTTCTCCTAAACCATTTTTTGGCAACATTTTTCTGTTTTCCTGCCACTTTGCTCCTCCTAAAACACTTAAATGCAAATCTTGACATTAAAAAAATAAATCAGAAAATCTGCAAAAGGACTAGCTCTGCCTCTGCTTAGAAGGAAACAAAAGTACTTTATTCCTCTCCCTCCAAACAGGAAGGAAAGCATAGAAATGAAGAATTTTCTTGAATCTTCTTCAATCATTTTTTTCTAGCATGCCGAAAATGTGTCTCCTGCTTTCATTTTCCTTGTCTTTATTTCTTGCCAATGTTTGCTTTGTTCTCATGATAGAATGGTGCATATCATTAGCAGTTTAACATAGTGGATTAGTATTAGTATTAATTAGTATTAATTAGTAATTAGTATTGCGGATTTCTTTTTCTTCCAGAGCTGTAGTGGGTACCTACAGCTGTTTACAAAGTATTTCAAACAATCTGAAACAAGCGTCCTGAATAATTGAAGATTATTGGTAAGGGCACAGAGAGCCTTTCAACTTGGTAAGATAAATTAAAATGCATCATAAGATGATAGTGATGAAATCCATATGAAATCATGTCCTAGATTTTATAAGAACTAAATGTAGTCTGCTCATATCAAGAAACCCACTGCATGTGGCACTGGTTAACAGGAGTTGGCAGTCTCCAAATAAAGGTTGCAGAATGGTGGCCTACAAAATTAATTGCTCTTTTAGCCCTGGAAGAGGTGTTTTAGCTCAGAATTTACACACTGCATAAAGCTATAGGTTAGGTATAGTAAGATTTTAAGCAGGGTGGTAAATATGTGGACCAATTCCATAACCTCTTAACTCTTCTCTGCTCCTAAGAGATCTCCGTGAAGTTTAACAGTAGAAATATTCATAGTACCAGACAGTCTGAAATTTAACTACATGGAGGATGGAGTGGGAGGAAAAGGAGTAACCTTTACCTTCACTGAAATAATCAGACTGTATAGCCCAGTTTAGTCAGAGGAGTCTTTTTCTTTATTTCTAATTTTTTTTTCTATTGTGCTTCTTTCATTTTACAAAAGATGCTGCCAGAAGGCAATCCCGACAGCTGGCTCCAGGAAAACAAAGCCTGCCAAGACACAAGGAGAAAATGGACCTGTCCTTGGACTGAGACATTAAAAAGGAAAATAGAAATGCAACTTGTGTGCACAACCCATTTGACCACAGTCCACTCACAATTATCCTCCCTGACAACACTGAAGAAGAGAGTGCACAGAAATTATCTCAGTCCCCAGCTAGTTATTGCTACCAGCCTTTTATTACTACTGTTGTTCTGATGTATGAGATCCTCTACAGCGGATGTCCCCAGACCAAAGGACATTGGTCTCTTGTTCTGGGGTGACTTTATAATACTGGTATCCCCAGTCGTCTGGTTTATGTTATATATTAAATTCTGCACCTTTAAGACTGGCTTTGAGAGCAAGAGAGGGGGAAGAAGAAGTGCGCAGTTTGTGTTAAGGAAAAACATCACTCCCCCACACCCCGCTCCTGGACTGTGGTGTCTGCAGCACGGACAGACAGCGGGACAGAGCTTCTCTCTGGCTTTTAGTTAGTTTTAGCTAGCTGAGGCAGAGGAGTTCCCTGGAACTTTGTTTTTTCCCTTTTTCCTGGATCTGTGCAAGCCTGCTCTGGACTGAACACCCAGCCAAACCCCGGGAGCTCACACCTGTGGCCCACCGGGGCCTGGGCCTTGGCACTTTCCAGCACCGAAAGGACTGATAAGAACCTGAGCGAGCCGAGCTTCACCACATGAAAAGGGCTTTTCTTCCTAGATTTTCCATCCCATCGAACAGTGAGAGGTTTTATTATTTAATATTATTCAATTTCTGTTAAATAAACAGCTTTTTCCACTTCTCTCCAAGGAATTTTTTTTCCCCAGACCAGTTGGGGGGGGAGAGGGGTAATTTAAATTTTTTTTCCCTCCCTGGAGAAACCCCCATTTGGAGTTTTTCTCCCAAATTTACCCTAAACTAAGACATCTCTGAAGAATACCATAAGAAAATGAGCACTCCATGAGCCATACTTTTCACATACCTTCCACCTGGTTCTGGGCATATGTCTTGCTTCCACCAGCGTCCCACTAATTAGCTGAAAAACAGAAAATCAGTATTTAAGGCTGCCTGGAATGCCTCCTATCAAACAGTGTAAAGAACAAAAATCTCTTTGTATTTTACACAACTTTGGTCCTAATTTCTTATTTAATGTGGTTCTGGCACTCAAAATTAAGTTCAGAAAAGAAACAACATTGGAAGGGCAAAACTGCGTAACATATTTGGACACAAAGCAGGAATGAGGAAAGAATACCCTAGAGATCAGAATAACTACACTCAGTAATTGAAACTACAAAATACTTTTTTTTTAAAAAAAGGCATTTTATGCCCCGTTATGGTATATCAGCTGCTATTGCTCTTACATTTTTCACCCAACCAGTACTTCCTGCAGATACACAGTACTTGAGTTCCAATACCTAGTTAAAAGTCAGATTCTTACAGAAACTTTAGAGGTAAACTCCAATCATTCAGTGATTAGTCATATGTCATATAAATGCTTACGAAGTTTAGACTACAAAACACAATAACATTCAAAACTATTACAGTAGATTAAATTATTTTTTTCTTCTAGTGCTCTTAAAAAAAGTTTTAAGCATATTTTAGGTTTGCAAGAATAAACAATGACCATTTTCTCTTCAGAGGACTTAAGTAGAGAAAGCAATCATTAAATCCACCAAAGTAAAGACACCTGCAGACACCCAGAGAAATCTCTGTGAACGTTATAATAGTCCCTGCTAAACACAGAAGGTTCCTCAGATGTGTTTTTCTGGGCTCTGGTTCAAGTAGTGAAGGATTTTGTCGAGGTTTTAGCTGTTCTTGTGCTTTGTGTGCCCCCTATTGGAAAAAACTCTACAATAAACCACCCATATTATTCAATATTCAAGCTCTCTCAGCTTTACTGTCAATGTAAGATAGTCATTTTATTACATATACTTTTCCCTATTTTCTCAGGGATTTCAGCTTTCATTTCATGGCACACAACAGCTGAACTTATAATATGAATTTTAAATGGATTGTCACAAGGCGATTGTGACTGTGCAGGTTGCATAAATTTTCATGGTAATTCTGTTGTAAACAAGAATTTCACTCATGACATCCCTACATTAACAAGATACTTACTTTCCCATAATCAATAAATGTCTCTCCTAGACACCTGAAATCCAAGCCCTCTCCGACTGCTACAGACAGTAGTTTAGCACAATTTTAATGTAGTTTGCACAATACTGAATATTAATGATTTTGTCTGGATTTCATAGAACACAAAGTAATGATAACTAGGAAGGTCAGGAGTTAGAGAAAAGAAGAAGAAAAAAAAATTAACTCACCAGTCAAGGACTAACCCTAACCATTAAATAGAGAAATGAACAAGCAATGAGTATGCCTTAAAAAAAATATTTGTAAGTAAATTCAAGTTTCTGGATGAGATACTGTTAATGAAAGCGAAATTCAAATTAGTGATCCTAAATAGATGAAACTATTTAGAGCAAATACATGCTTATCCTAAGCCCCAGAGGCTAGTATGTCTTACAGAAGGTTAAGGGATACCTACACAGGATATACACAGAAAAGGAGCAGCAGGTCTGCAGAGTGCCTTTGTCAGACAGATGCTCTCTGAGATTGCAGAATTCCTGTAACTTCTATAAACACTCACACCAAGACATAGAGAAGATAATGTCCATTAAACTTCTACTAAACACTGTAAGTAACCATGTTGTGCTGTTAATTTATACTAACAGGACATAAAGGCCTAATTTTAGAGGTATTTAAAATGAGTTGACAGAGAGCTGCGTGCTTGGCACATCTCCCATAAAAAAGGTGTTACTGACTTTTACAAAACAAGGGTGTCTTTTTATGCTATGACCAGTTTTTCAGACAATCTCTACCATGAACTGCATGCAGTAAGTAGGACTTGAACTGTTTCCAAAAAAAAAAATTAACTACATTCTTTGTTTTGAATAAATCACTTTACTCTTAAGAATTAATTAAAATATTGTCTTTATAATAATTGAAAAGGATAACCATTAAAACAAATGTATTCTGATCCAAGCACTTACATAGAACCTACAGAAAGAGGCTCAATCCTGGGCTTGTATAAGTAATATTTTTTCTTAAATGTCTGTACTAATTTACAGATAGATCACTGTTAAATAGACATGCTATATTGAATAATGTTAAATAAAAATGAGCAAATTATTTTGGTCACAAGGTCAGAATTAATTTGCCTTGTAGCATATAGTTCAAAAAATGCTTCAGCAAACACTGCTTGTATTATTACTATTACAGCTGTTGTTTCAACACTATAGTGCAATGACTTTATGTACCAGTTTTAATTGTACATATTAGGGTCATAAAGAGAAGCTGCAGTATCTCCTCTTTTATGCATGTTACAGTATTATGAAACTTGTAAATATGAGAAAAACTCTTAGGCTCATTAGCAAAATTTCTATCCATCATAAGTAGTTTTCTAGTTCCAGTGTCTATTATTCATGTGAAGTGCCGTCTTTGCCATAAAATAAACATCTTCTGTAAAAACTAAGTGATTAATTCTTACAGCATTTTTTGTTGTCATTTTCTTTGGTTTTTTTTACCAAACACCTCACCTTTGGAACTTCTTCCAGTCTTCTTGTAATCAATGCAAATACCTGATTAAATATCTTCATGCTTCATGCTTTTTAAAGTCTAACTGGAGAGTGAATATTCATAGGGTATATTAACTTGATTTAATTCTGATAACTTTCCCCTCCATCTTTTGGCTCTCCATTTTAATGATAAGGAAGAGCTTTCCCTGGCAAATATTGTGTCTGATTCCAATTAAACAAATCACCTAAAATGACTTTTCAAAAACAAAAACAAAAATTTGCAAAGAAAGGGAAGTTACACTCAAAATCAGATACTACACAGGTTCTGTAAATATTTGAGATAGCGACTTTAAAATTCTGACAGCAAATTTAGAACTAAAACATGTACCCAGAACAAATGTATATCATGCATATGTGTATATAGAGACAAAACCCATGCACATTGCTTTGCTGTCTTTCAGTCTATTTTGCATACTTTGTAGGATGAGAAAAAATTCAGTTTTTCTATATTGTCCATATACACATGTTCCTGGTGTCACTACCTTACACACAGACAAATATACACTCCCCAGCTTCTGTATTGCAAAAAAATATTTTGCTATAAAATTGAACTAACATGTGCAATGAAAAATTTATTTGTTTAAACAAAATATTCTTCTTCTCTTGGATGATAATTGTCTTTAAGCTCTTCAGAAATCTGGGTGATCCACTGGTTTGTACTATCTCATGTCTCATGAGAACCCTCTAGAGACAGAGGTTCTCAGACCAATTGTCCATATTTGTAACATATTCCCTAATTTGTAAGGACTCAGACAAAATCACATGATTAATTGGAGTTCCCCCCCTCCACTGATTCATATACACTAAGTATTGCTGTGATTCCTTTGACAAAAATACATACTGAGATTAAAATCTTCCATAGATTCCAAACAACACTTCAATTACATATTGCAATATGCATAGCACAGCATGATTGTACGTGCCTTGTTGATGGGTCACACTACCATTCCACATCAGCTGGTTCAGGCACTAGCAGTCTAACTGAAGCCTTGCTCATAACTAGAAACTTTAACCTAGCTCTCAGGTGGTCTTTACTGCTACAATAAAGAGTCTACTGAAGAGCCAGCTATTTTAAAAGCTCAGGAATATCTAGCAGGAAGTATAAGTACATTCTCCACCTGGCGAAAAACACACTAAAGAGATTGGTAAATTAGATTTAGTACTTCCATGAAAATATTGAAATTCCTTAAAGACAACACCAATTTTTCTTCAGATATTTAGTCAAAACAACTGAAATGCTTACCTCAAAACATGGAGCACCCTGCCTTCTCACTTGCTCTATTTCATGCAAGAAAAGAGTGTCTCAGTATCTTTCTATTAAAAAAGAGGGGGGGGAAGTGTTTTTATATTTTTAATTTATATTTCTGACTTTTAAATGCAGTTCCAACTCAGGAAAGCAGCTAATATAGATTTAATTATATGGAAAAGATGGTTTAACTGCAATTCAAATTCAGTACCAAAAATCCAAAGAAACCAGCCTTGCCTTAAATGTGCATGTATCAATTCTTTGCAGTCATTTGTAAAGAGCTGTGCTTTAATACCTAGATTGCTAAAACCAGAGTTGATAAAGCCCTATATTCCTGTGGATAAAGTTTTACTAAAAAACTGATCATCTATAACACACTTCATTAAATTCTTTTTGATTCTTCCCTAAATGAAGAAACACAACTACTTGAGCCCCTTAAAATCCTAATGCTAACCATATTAATCTGTCATCTACTGAAAACAGTGACAATTTGAATTCAAAGTAGAATACTAAGGATCAGCCGACACTCTACGTAAATCTTGAAAGAACACACTTCAGACACAATGTTTTTGTATTACATCTTTCTTCTGAATTTCTTCTGTCTTCTTACTCTTACTAGGTTTGGTGTAATTAAGGTAGGTCGTTGTCCCATACAGTTGAAAGCATTGGGAAGTCATGATGAGACATATCAGAAAAAACATGAACCAAATCACTTTTAAAATGATATTACACTGAAAAATGTTTGTGTTAAAATCCATAGACTGCACTGATCTCATAAAATGGCCTGTAAGTCTTAAAGATAATGTTCTAACCTCCATTTAGACTACCTTTGATTTTTTTTTTTTAGCAATTTCTCTTTTAAAAAACACAGTGAGTGAACTCCACCAACATTAAGGAGACTTGTAGAGAAACTTTACAAAAGTGCTTGAGAAGTGTCCCTGGGGACAGTCATCTGCAGTAACTTGTCTCATGCACTCTGCATGTGGGATCCTGGCATTCTCTATAGCTGGAATGATTTTTAAGCAAACCAATAGAAGAAGCACAAGTACACTGTTATGTGCCTTCCCTCAGTGATATAATCTCAAGCTGCACAGCTCCTTGCAAGATGCTAACCATTGGCAGAAGGATAAGCTGTCACAAATAAGAGTAAATTGCACCAAGGGTCAATTAAGTAAAAAATTAATAAGCTCAGCAATTTGTTCTGTAACCAAATGTATAAAAGTAAATCTGTTCAATTATATGAGAGGACACTAATATACAATCTTTAAGATAAACTGTTTCAGTAATGTTTTTTTAAAATGCTTTGACAAAGAGAATTGCATTAGCAAAGATATAACAAGTCAGTAATTAAGACAGCAGAATTATAGACTAAGATGTTTGCATGTCTGAAATTTTACAGCCAAACTTGTTTTATCAAATTTTACTTTTGTTGATTTTCTATATTTATTCTTACATAAATTGTATATTATCACTCAAAATTCCATCTAGAAGAAATCACAGAATAAACTTGTCACTTTATAGAACAAAAAACAACTTTTCTTATGAAAGTAATTTCATGTTTGCCACAGGAGAAACCACTTGAAACAAGAGATGTGTTTCAATTTGGCTAATCCCTCATTATTGTTTACCCCAAAAGCACAAGCCATAGGTGATTTTGTGGTATTAAATTTACCTTTTGCAGAAGAACGGACAGTACACGAACACTAGCTGATGACACTCATCAGAATCACTGCTCTTGATAGTACTGCCACCTGCTGTTCATTTTTCATTTTGTTTCTTGATCAACAGTTTTAAACTACTGACTTTGTACAGCTAATTTCACCTTATCTGTAAGAAAGATTGATTCAATCAATATTGATTTTTTAAACCATTTTAAACACCACTCATTGTTTCAGTTTCTGTTGGCAACTGATGCATAACTGTCTTCTTCTCATGCTTTCTTAAATGCACAGAATAATCACACCAAGGAAGCAAGACTTTCTGCCTGCTTTTTGGAAGTGTTTGTTTAGGATTCTGTATGCGTTTCTTAAGATTTTTTTCACATAATAAAAAATTAAAGAGTAAATAATCTAATTTAAAATTTATTAAATCATGATGTTTAATTTTTAAGCCAACAAACCTAGCACAGAAATTCAGAAGATGTTCAAGAAATAAGTGTTATTCTTTAGAAAATAGAACTAGTAAGTACTTGTGGGATTTTATTATTTAAATTTGCCTTCAGCTCTATGGTATCAATAGGCTTCTGTGAATTTAATCTGAGAGGAGTGTTAAACAATGAAAGACAGATTATTACATTTCCTTTGCAACTCTCTTTAGAACTAGCCTAGGTTTCTCTACAGACAAAAGTGCAGACAAATTAAGGAATAATTTTATTTCTGAAATTCAAATTTAGCATGTGTACATACTTTAGTTTTGTAAGTTTTAAGACAGAGACAGAGAGAGAGAGAGATGAGATGTATGTTTGTGGGGGAGATTATACATATATTTAATTAGTTGTTTATCTGTTTAAGCATATAACACCATCCTAAATCTACTACTAGATTTCAGGGATAGTAAGCCATGGTTGCCTTATACTGCTGCTCAGAATATTGTGTTGGAAGAAAAATCTTCCTTTCCAGTGTCCAGTCTTAAAGGCTGATTTCCAGGAAAAAAAAGTTAATCTCTAAATTACTAAAATGAAGAGAGCAGACTTTGGGATAAAAAGCACTGACAAATTTTTGGGCAGATATGAAAATTTAAATTGAGGACTTGTTTCTGCTCTGCAGTGGCTTTCCATAGCAAGGTTTTTTGTAGCAGAGGAGCTACAGAGGCAGTTTCTATTAGAAAGTAGTCTGTAAATAGTAGTTTCTGTAAGAAACTATGTTGCAATGTGTTTGTTTAATTTTGTCAGAGTTGATAGGTTTGAATTTTTTGTTGGTATGTTCCTTTTCCCCCCCTGGGTTGAATGTATTGGTTTCTACCTCTCGTTATCCCTCCCACATCCCATCCATCAAAGCAAAACCCTCCCTTCCTTCTTGAAAGTTCCTTGTCTGTCCAGCCCTGCCCCTACTCCCTTGTCCATCATTGTAAACCCCACCATGTCTTCCAGATCCTTCCCTGTCAATTATTTGTCCCTCCTGGCCCCACTGGCTAGTGTATCTTGCTTCCTCCCTCTGTGTATCCCTGAATTTGTGATCCCCTCCCCTTACTCCTCCCCTCAGGATTCCCTATTGGTCCACTCTTTGTACCCTCCCCTGGAGATCAGGCTGTACTTAACCCCCTGCACAGCAGGGCTTCGGGTTCTTGTGGACCTGACTCCTTCCAGTGTAGATCCCACGTTTCCCCATCCTAATAAACTATTGCTGGGAACTCTACTCCGGAGAGACTCCTCTGCTTTAGTACCTCTGTCCCTGACACCGTGCACCACAGAGCTTGGGGTGGCCCAAGCATCCAAAGGTTTTGCTATGGGAAAAGCAAAATCCCCAGTGATTCCCCACTCCTGGCACTCGCCTGCGCTGGAGTGCAAAAGAACACCCTAGAGCTAGCTGGAGCTACAGTGCAGAGCAGTGTCAAAACTATCCAACAGAGCTGGTGTCAGCCAGCTCCAAGACAGACCTGCCACTGGCCAAGGCTGAGCACATCAGTGACAGTGGTAGTGCCTCTGGGATACCTGATTTAAGAAGATGAAAAAGCTACTGTGTGGGAGTCAGCCTGGCTGGGGCACAGACTCAGGCAGATTTCACCTCTGATAAGCTGAACCTCCATTTTAAGCCCTGGAAAACATTTGTTAACCCAGGGCAAACCTGAGTCTTCATCCCAAGACCCCTTGTAGTTGGTATGTTAAGTAACTGAAGTTCTTTTCCCCTGTTGGTTAGTTATGTTCCTTATATGGTCATGCTTCCCAAATGTTCTTTCCTTAAGGTAATATATTGTTCCTCCTTTGTTCTTGGCTTTGGTTGGTCACCCCCACAGAGCTCCCCCTGGTTATTGTTGTTTGGTTTTTGGGTATTGTCCCTATTTTCTTTTATTCTTTATTAAAGTGTTATTTTCCTGGTACAAACTATTGTTCCCACTCCTATTTATTTTCACCACCATCTGCCCTGAAGTCAGGGGACCTAAAGATTTGTCGTGGCCACCCTCCTTGTGATACTACTGCACCAAATAACTGCAGCCAGAGAGAGAAGTGAGCATAGGTGAGAGAAGCAGTTGTGCAGATCCCAGGTCAGTGGAGAAGGAGGGGTAGAAGATTCTCCAGGCACTGAAGTTCGATTCCATCTGCAGTCCAAGGTGCAGCCCATGGTGTGCCATGCTGGAGCACAGATCCACCTGCAGCCCAAGGATGACCCTGTGCCAGAGCAAGTGGATGTCTGAATGAGGCTGTGACTTTGTGGGAAGACTAGCAGGACCAAGCAGGACCTCTGGCCCCACAGAGAGGGGTGCCCAGGCTGGAGCAGGTTTGTGGGCAGGACTTGTGACCCAACGGGGACCCAGCTGGAGTATTGTGTTCCTGAAGGACTGCAGACCATGGAAGGGACTCATGCTGGACGAGTTCATGAATAACTGCAGCCTGTGGGAAGGACTCATACTGGAGAAGTGCACAGAGCAGGGGAAAGATTTCCTCCCCTGAGGAAGATGCAGCAGCAGAGGCCATAATTCCCATTCCTGTCTCATTTGCACTGCTAGGGACAGGAGTAGAGAATCAGAATATAGACAAGAAATGAAGCAGGGCGGGACAGGAGAAAGCTATTTTTAAGTTTTGGGTTTACTTCTCATTATCCTACTCTAGTGTTGGGGGTTAAGTGTCTTCTTTTTTTTTTTTTAGTTCTGGCCTGTAGTGCCTGTAGAATTTTTACCCATTAGTTGCGGAGACAATCTAACTGTGGGTACTTGGTGACTGCTTAACAAAAGACAAAGAGTTTGGCCGAGCCCAGGGGGGGAGGGAGGCAGGAAAAAGGAGGGTGGAGACAGTTTTAGCGGGCTTTCTTCAGCTTCAGAGAAAGACATTTTGGGCATGAAGCTGTTGCAGTGGAGAGAAGGGAATTTTGCCATCACCCAGACGGAGCTGCTGCTTCTTCTTCTTCTTCCCTCTTCATTGCTGGCCTCACACCCCCTGTCCTGCCGGGACGTGTGGCAGTGCCAGCCACCGCCGCGGAGCTGCTGATCCACCTCATCCACCAGCCCAGGATCTCAGCTCATCCCTGCTGTTCCAGCTGAGTGTTCCTCAGAGCCCTGCAGGAGCACCGGGACTGACTGCCCGAGGGGTTTGTGAAACAAAGCCTCTCCTCCATCCCTTCCCATCTCAGCCGAGAATGCTGTCACGGGTACCCTGGTTCTGTTTTCTTGCTAATGCTGTAGTTATTGTTTGTTTGTTTGCCTGGCTATACTAGTAAAGAACTGTTATTCCCATCCCCAGATCTCTGCCTGAGAGCCCCTTAATTTCAGAATTATAATAATTCGGAGGGAGAGGGTCTACATTCTTTCATTCTAAGAGAGGCTCCTGCCCTCCCTAGCAGACACCTGTCTTCTAAAACCGAGACATCTAGTTAGATTGGTAATAAATGAAATTAATTTCCCCAAGTCTGTTTCACCCATGACAGTAACCAGCGAGTGATCTGTACCTATCTTTATCTCACCCCATGAAGCCTTTCATTGGATATTGTCTCCTCTGTCCAGCTGATGAGAGCGACAGAGTGAGTCTGGTGACCATCTGGCATTCAGGCAAAGTCAATTCACCACATACTTTTTATGGGAATTCTTTCTTCTTACTTCTATGCTGACTATAAAGAATCCCTTAGCTATATGACTGCCGCCTATACTGACAAGGAAGTGTAGATAGCAAAGGGACTGGGCTGACAGAACAAGGAGATTTGCAACATTAAGACAGTATGGGTATATAAATTACATGTGTTAAGAAAAGAGTACAATGAGCAGTCATACGGTGATAGCAATAATTAGGTTAAACTGTTTCTTTCAGAGAAAAGACAGGATAATATGAAAGAGTTGTACTTTGAGTGACATGAACTAGGTGAAAAATGACTGTTCGTTCTATTCCAATATATTAAGAATCAAAAGAGCATACTAGATGGCAGGTTCAAAACAAAAACAGTACCAGTAAAAAACCCCCATGTTTTCTTCCAAATAACTTGCAATTAAGCAGTGGAATTTCTTGCTATAGGATGCTGCAGATGCTAGAAATCAATGATTTTGGAAAAAGAAATAATTTTTTAAAACCCTTTCTAGAAAAGATCACTGATTGATAATAATTATGAATGCCACCTCCAAGTATTCTGCAAATTACTGAAAGCAGATCTAAGGAAGAGCTCTTGCAATCTTTAACACCATGAGATATGCACTTAATCACTGTCAAAGAAGACATAGACATCCTTGACTTTAAAAATTGGGCAACCACCAGCCTGAAAGTATGCCAAACTATCTTGAGAAAAGTAGAAGAATAGGAAATGACAGCAGCCTGGATGTAGCAATTGGAGCAACTAATATATTGAAGACATAATTGTGATTGGGTGGAACAAAATTATGGAAGTTGTGCAAGATGATGAATAGTGGGAAAGAGAAAGCAATGTGATGAGCATGAAATCAGTCATAGGAATCAAGACTGCAGACATAAGCAGATCCAGGAGATGGGCAAATAGTTTAAGCTGGCAGATACAAAATGTTCCACAATGGTTCCATATACCTTAAGGGTATACAGAAATGAGTGTCAGTACTTTTAAGGATATCTGGTCAAGGACCATTTTCAGTGCAGCAGATGAGAAAAGGAGGAAGCCATACACAGGAAAATACAGGGACACAAACCCGATCACCAAATGAAAGGAAGGTGGTGAT